GAGGCCCGTCAACAAATTGCAGCGATGTTGAAATTTATGAAGAGAACTTATATCCAATTTACCAGTTGTCTGAATATAATTTTAAATTACTTCTTGCAACGACAAAGGAATACACAAAAGAACACGCAGTTTGAACTTGGTGGGCCAGTACGATTTGAATTTGATCTTAAAGTCCATTGGGGAAAGAAGATGATCAATGTGGAGAGATGTATCAGAGACCGAATGGCAGGTGTCCCGAGAAGGGGTGCTTAATTGCTTATATGCTAGGATATAATTTATTACGGCATAAGCCTCGTGAAAGACCGTTAGGCATAAGTGACAAAATCTAAATTACATTCATCGTCCAGCCTGATTCATGTTACATCAGATTTGTGACGTGATAAATTTATTTTATAAATTTTCTGTGTTGTTGTTTTGGCTAAATCAAGGTCGCGAAAAGAGGAGATTAATGCCTTTGCAAAAGATACACTGAGGCAGTTTCACCTGCTTGGGTAGCAAACCAACAACACTAGAATTACGATTCAGACGGTCTAGCAACTAAGCAACTTTGGATATAAATGAATACCGAACTAATCCGCCATATTTCTCTTGCAAGAGAAGTAATTATAAACTTACGAATATTAGATGACTTTGTTGTGTCCACATGCTGAATAATTCCTATATCACATACTCGTGTTTGAAAATATACGATTCATATTAAAGAATTTTAACTTTTACGTTGAATTCTGAAATATAAAGATTTTTTTCTCTGCAATTAATAAGCTACAAAGGTCAAGTTTTGTTCTTTGAACCACGCTTCACGTCGATGTCTGAATAAGATGTGTCTCTCTACATTTGTGGTATGTGTGCGTGCGTGCGTGTGTATGTGTGTGTGATCGGAATTTTAACGTAGCTTTAACAATTGTCAGTAATATCTCTACGATGTCTGCAGTGTGGCAGTTATAGTGATGTCTAGCATTGGGACATCATGACGCAGACATGCATATAATGTCATAATGAAAGAAAATAAATACTAACCAGAGGTAACTATTAGCTTGAAATAATTTTAAATTTAAACGTATCTCATTTTAACTATTACATTGAAAACCCATACATTATTTGAAAGTCGGAAAATGCATGTCAGATTTATCAGTTTACTTCAAGTAATTATCGGGTTTCTTCAGGTACTTATGGACTAATATAGTTGTTTCTTCTTAATCTTAATCTCTTTTTCTTCTGTTTTACTTGTGGCGAGGACGCATGCGCTTGAATGTCCTGCTCGACAAAGGCAGAAAACCACAGATAATTCTTATTACAGGGCGAGTCGTTGTATATAAGTAAATAGATCAATTTTGTGTCGTTAATTAATTTTGTCTGCATGCAAGACATATAAAATAGTTTTTCATTCTTCGACACAAAGGTTGATGCAAGTTTAGATAAAAGGAATTTTTAAACTGATTGGTGATATGATGCCTTTACAGCTAAGCAACAAAGATACCCTTTGCCCTATTCAGAAAAGATAGGGCCCATTCCTGCGCTGCAATGATGAGCAGTGCTTCGTAATAAATTTGCATATGAATAGCAAAATATAGGCTTCTCAAACGAGATTTTTCTTGTATGTTATTAAAATACGTCAGAAATTCTCGTCTGAATTGATAATCTGCAGATCGAATTTAAAATCAAACATATCTGTTTATGGCTTCGAGAAACAAAGTCAACACATTTATATTTCAAATAAAGGTTATGCTTGAAGAAAAGGAAGAAATATGAGTTTTGATAATAATTGCAACAGCAATATAAAAACAACCACTGGTATCTGAGAAGACATGGTAGTCCCTATACTGAGCTGCATTAGCAAACAGTATTGGAAAGTTTGATTGGTTTACAGAAGAACCATTGGCTTCATGTGCACAATTGCTAGGTCAGTCAAATGAGGGGATATTCTCCGTTATCCTGGGCACTTATCTTACGCGGTTAATTTTTTTTTTTAAATTAAGATTTAGACAGGAGGATAATATTTTATCAAATCCTGTTTTTTATTTGGTTCTGTTATTAGTTGACAAGACAACAAAGAGTAATGTAGACTAGAAAGTATGTCTAACTAATGTCACTCTGATTTGAATATTAACTTTTTTTTTACTGGTGATTTGTTACATTTTTTTAGAACTCGAAAACTGTCAAATGAAATTGTATTTTTTAGTCGCGACATCATATTAGTCGCGGCAACAATTAAACCAGTGGTCACATTACAAATTCAAATAACTGCTGATTGCGATTCGATACCACCGATACAAGCCATAACCAAAATGAACGTGAAGATGTAAAAAAGATATAATTAACAGTTAATGTTGAGGACATTTTCAGAGAATGCACTATTTGGACATTTATTTAGCACCAAACAGCTGTTTATCAGTGTTCCAATGGGATATGCTTTGTGATTTTTAATTAAATGAATAAAAGCATTCCGAATAATTTTGTGGGTTAGAGAAAAATGCAATGAATGCACTTCAGATTTTATCATTTTACAAAATGAATGAATGAAATTTCGCATCTACCCCTCTCTCAGGCATTCTTTAATCTATGCCACATTGCCATTGTTTCTGACTTACGCTTAAGTCTTTTCAACAAGAAGTTCGTTTAACCAGACGTTACCCACTTTTGATTATCAAATTTTGATCCGCCAATGGGGCAATAATACGCATATATAAACATTCTAGCGACCGTCTGCAGTTGATTCTAGTTCAATTTTGAATTTCCACATGTTAATCATTGGTGACGTATGAAAATAACAATACAAATTATTAATAATCCTCGGTTGTTTCTAAATGAATTTATTATGGTTCACATTTTCATCACAATCCTTTCTGATTTATGATCTCCTCTCCCCTCAAATGCATAACGAACAAACTACGCAGAGATGTAGAGTGAGATAGATAAAAGGAATTGGGGCTGGATTATAAACCTTGAAATAGAAATTACACCAAGCAACCTACATGAATATTGTTCATCGTAACGATACGTGTGGACTTTCCTTGGGATTTATATACAGTGTTTATCAATAATACAAAGTTTCAACCATGTTGCCATTATAGAGTTAATTACTCGGTTACGTGATACGCATAATATGATGTATTCAATATTTTCTTTTGTTGTTGTTTCTTAAACATACTAAAATGTTCTAGACTCGATTATTAATGATTAAATATGAAAATGTCCAAAGGCCCCCCCCCCTCTCTCTCTCTCTCTCTCTCTCTCTCTCTCTCTCTCTCTCTCTCTCTCTCTCTCTCTCTCTGGACCATCGTAGCACGATACGGGCTAAAATCTATGAAATGTAGAAAATTTTCATTTGTGTCATCCCACCTTATCTCTGGACTTATTAATATTGGTAAAACTTAAGTCAAACCTAACAGGGCTGTGTGTGTGTGTGTGTGTGTATGTGAGAGAGAGAGAGAGAGAGAGAGAGAGAGAGAGAGAGAGAGAGAGAGAGAGAGAGAGAGAGAGAGAGAGACAGACAGACAGACAGACAGACAGACAGACAGACAGACAGACAGACAGACAGACAGACAGACAGACAGACACAGACAGAGACAGACAGAGAAAGAGAGACAGAGACAGAAACAGAGACAGAGAAGCAGAGAGAGAGACAGAGACAGAGACAGAGAGACAGTTTATTGTCGGTTGTACTATTGCTCAAGGAGTGTAATCACTTAGATCAACTGTACATATATTAAAATATTTTAATTACATCTTGTTGGTTCGACACTTCGCGTAGTTTCTATTCCACATTAATTTACATGAGCCGGTAAGTGAATGGCTTAGAGCCCATATGAATGGCATAGCTAACCAAGAAATTATAGTGCACTGCTTTTATTTTAAATCCATCTTGCATGTTTAAATCATAAGTATGTATTATGCTGAATTAATCAATGTGAAGAAAAATAGAAACCCCAGAAAGGAAACAACCAATTTAACAATATGCACAGGTGATTGTAGATAGCCACAAAAGGCGTTAGAACTACATTTTGAAGTGAACACAGTCGGGAATCTGAGGAGTTTTTTCACTAGTCTACCTACCTACCTACCTATCTATCTATCTATCTATCTATCTATCTATCTATCTATCTATCTATCTATCTATCTATCTATCTATCTATCTATCTATCTATCTATCTATCTATCTATCTACCTACCTATCTACCTACCTACCTACCTATCTACCTATCTATCTATCTATCTATCTATCTATCTATCTATCTATCTATCTATCTATCTATCTGTCTGTCTGTCTGTCTGTCTTTATGTCTGTCTGTCTGTCTGTCCATCCATCCATCCATCCATCCATCCATCCATCCATCCATCCATCCATCCATCCATCCATCCATCCATCCATCCATCCATCCATCCATCCATCCATCCAACCATCCATCCATCCATCTATTTATTCATTATTCATCCATCCAAGGTCATGCGCAGATTCACACTAGAAATGATCATTTAAATTCTGTCAACCAGTATACATATCACCTGGATATAAAAAAAAACAGAAAATGAAAATAAAAACAATCAATAGAAGGACGAATATATCTGTATTCATCCCTGAGCTGTGCGCGCCTCGAAGAAAACCGATATTGCAATGAAAACGATTTTGTTGTAAAGCAAACAACAAACCCTTCAACCATGGCATAATATGGATTTAATCACTCACTTTTATCTAATAAATCCATCCTTAAATCGAAGCCTATCATAATATTTATAAAGAAAGGAGTTTAATTTCATCCAGTGATGGGAAAATTAATATTTATATTATCAGAATATTTTCGTTCAGAGGGGGGTTTATAATACTTTAATATTTTCAGCTCTTGAAGTTAATTTGCAAACAACATTTTAGCCAACATACCGATGCATAAGAGATTCATTAAAGTTTATACATTTCGAACAAAAATATTGTCATAATTTTCTAGCAACAGTTGGGCAATATGTACGCGTATCGACACGCAACTGTTCTAACTCGCCTTCCCAATGACTGCTCCTGTGGCCTAGTGGTTAGAGTGTCCGTCCCAGATGCGGGAGGTCGTGGGTTCGATCCCTGGCTGAGTCATAACAAAGACAGCGCTCAGCATTAACAGTTTATAGTGATGTTTAGCACTGGAGAATTCATGCCGCTGACATGTAACATGATGTCCCAGCCAGTCACATTATCCTGACACCATGCCGACCAGTCCTAACACTAACCTCTTAATGCTGAAAGCGCCAACCGAGGCAGCTGTTAGTACCATTTGTATTTAGTCTTTGGTATGACTTAGCCGGGGATCTAACCCTCGACCTACCGCAGCCAAGTCGGACACTGTAACCACTAGGCCACCTTAGCTGTGTAATATATCTAATAAACGTGAGACATATGTAACAAAGTTTATCTAGAAATACAGTGTCTGAATAGAAAGAAAACTATTGGAAATGAAGTACTATGTCGTGCAATTTGGAGGTGAGAGAAAAGGCACAATATAAGACAAATTGAAAAAATAAAATCTATTTCCCTTTCTCATATAATTAAAACTGTTATTCATCTATATATTTTTGGTTCTAATTCCATTCAGTTGTGTCCTGTATGGCATGAGGCACCAGAGTATTTGTAGTCTGATTTTAATTTTAATCTTCTGAAATATTAGACATGTTCGGATTATCTTGTTTATCAAAGGATATATTTCTAATCAAACAACAACACAATATCAACCAAAGAGATCGTTTTCTGCCACGCAAGCTATTCATTAAATTGAATCCATAAAACGACTACAAAGAACTGAAAGATGGTAATTCTGCATAGTCTATGTTGATCAATTAGGAAAAATACTATGATTATTTGTGGAATGCATGAAGGTTCTCCTTTCAGATAGGTATTTTAATTAAGGCCGGAGTTACATCCGTTGGCAATTTCGTTTGACAAATATAACAAAAATAATGAAATAATCGGATGACCGAAGCGTTACTCAGTTAGACGTGACGCTGTAAACCTACAAATTATATTAAAAATGATCTAATAATTTCAGTTTTGAAGAGCTTCGTTGAATCATAGGGTGTAATTAGTTGTTATATAAGATACGAAAGACTTCAATTTTTTTTTTACCCAACTCACAAGCTAAATGACAGGTTACAGAAATCCACAAGTGTTAAGACATAATTTTGGTTGCAATAGGTCTGAGATTAAATATATAGTGAAGAAAAAATATACGTTGATATTTTTTTTAAACAGAAAAGAATAAATTAAACGTAGTATTAAAATGTGAGTGAAAATGGCCTAAAATACACCCACCCCCAATTTAATAAAATTTATTTATTAGATTCAGAACATTTGATGATTATTGTCTAAAAGACGTCGCAAGAAAAATGGCGACCGAAAGATTTAATAAGAATATCTATACTTTTGATGGAAATGAACGAACTTACAGGTATTCACCGAGTTTTCCATAGATTTACTATCAACTTTAATCTGCGCATAGATATAACTCATCTATTGTATTTGGGTTTGTCTTACGAAACAAGTACATGGGGAAAATGACATTTTAAACTACTGTCACTGAGATGGAATTAAACACAGTCTCGGATGAAAACCCACTCACAATGGGAATCTTTCACTACCATTGTTATCATTTACGACATACTTTCCTATTAACTTGTTAAAAGCCCAACGAGAGTAGGTTTAGGCAAAATTATGCAAAACAATGCAAATTGTTTAATATCGATTAGTTAAAAAGATGTCCTGTGTGTGACCTAATGTGCGAAGATTTGGATTTGGTCACATTCAGTAATTAAATTTCTTGTATTATTACCATGTACTACGTGTTCTTCGATATCCAAATTAACCATCTCACTAGCTGATGGGTATGTCTTTTTTGCATATGAAATGATATATGATATGACATTATATAATATTATATTATATTATATTATATTATATTATATTATATTATATTATATTATATTATATTATATTATATTATATTATATTATATTATATTATATTATATTATATTATATTATATTATATTATTATTTTAGAAATAATTTTGGAAATGGTAACTGATGTGAATTTAAGCATTAGTTATTCTTGTGACATAAAATTATACAAATGAAACATTAGTCAAGCAATATTTGAATAAAAACCCCACACGTAGATAAATATATAAATGACAATAAGAGAAGCAAATATAAAGGATGAGTGTCAACCAGCTCTACAAAGTTATTATTTGCGGTATCTTGAGGATGAAACTTATGGCATTTGTCATCTATTTATTTAGAATGAAGGTATGTTCGCGAAAGAGTACATGTTTTATTGCTATGGAGCTATCGTGTTTGATCCTGGCATATTTTGATGCAACCTGTGCAAACTTGCTCATTTGTTTAATGCTCTCTTGAATAACGCTCCTTCAGATGAAAAGGAGAACACTAGTACAATATGGACTTCTATTTGACTCAGAAATCCATTTGTTGGACGATTCATGATGCACGATATTTGCTTCTAAGATCTGTCCAGATGTAAATTGGCTAGTTGTATCGCATTAACCTGTCCCATAAATCATGGCCGTCAATTGGCCTAAACAGCACAACAAGAAAGCACAATCTGCTTAGAAACGATCTCTCTGATCCAGTCTTGATTTGAGTACAGTTTTCTGACTAAGCAACGATTCGAACTTCAACTATTTTGTACCAACTCAGATCTGATACATATCATATGCCAGTTAATTTGTATAGGTTACTTGTTCTGACATGGTTACATGCGCAAATTATATGATCAACGTGTGAATGAAGGATTTCAAACTGGTTCATGATTATCTAGAAACCGGTGCGACATATGGGTCTTAGCAATTAAAGAAAGTGCATTACTACGTTATGATAATCCAGATTGGCTCAATCTCTATCATACTATCATATCTCTGAAATAACTGCCGTAAATCTAATTACTAATTGATAGGTTTTGAGAGAGAGAGAGAGAGAGAGAGAGAGAGAGAGAGAGAGAGAGAGAGAGAGAGAGAGAGAGAGAGAGAGAGAGAGAGAGACAGAGACAGAGACAGAGAGACAGAGAGACAGGGACAGAGAGACAGAGACAGGGACAGAGAGACACAGAGAGTGAAAGACAGAGAGACAGACAGAGGCAGAGATAGAGACAGAGAGAGACAGAGAGACAGAGACAGAGAGTGAGAGACAGAGAGACAGAGAGACAGATAGAGACAGAGATAGAGACAGACAGAGAGAGACAGAGAGACAGAGACAGAGAGAGACAGACAGAGAGTATACGTCATTTACAACAAACTTTACAGTTAGTATCAACCATTACCCACCCCCAACTCATTTTGCTTATATAGACTGTGGTAGCCACTTTAACCTTGTGTTAGATTCAACCAAATATATTTACACGATAAATAATAAATAATGTAATGCTGGATACAAAGTTCACGTTAGTAAATAAAATATCAACACCTTAAATCAAACAGTAAGATCTCAAGGTAATTTCACAGTGCATTTCTCATTAACTTTTTTTACATGTTTAGTTTCTCTTTCTCATTAACTTTTTTTACATGTTTAGTTTCTCATTTTTACTTCTCTGTTTTGGCTCTTCGTCGCTCGCGATGATTACTTGACATGTATACCGGATGAATAATTTTGAATGCACCTCAAATATTTAATGCATATTCATTTAAAGTTTCGTGGAATTTCTGGCGTTCCATACAGACGTTCAATCCGTATTTCTTATCACATACTTTGGAGCTATATAGATGTTTATAGTGTCGACCGCGCGTCGACATTATTATTATATGAGGAGAGTTCAGTAGTCAGCAAAGAGATCATCACGTGAATAATAATATAGCTAAAGCTGGAATGGATGATATCCAGTCCAACTCTGGATGCAACTAAAGGTCTAGGCCATGCATTGCGTCCGAGTGGCGTTTACGGGTCCAGACTAGAATGACTACCTTTCCGTTTATCTTGGATGGTAGAAATATAAGAAACATCCCCTTGGAAAGCAGTGACAAGGGATTAGCCAGGTACGATAGTACGATCAATGTTATTCAGCGTCGACTCAGCAAATACCGTGCCCCCAACAGAGATATCACTGCGCGCAGCACCTCCACCAAGAACAATAACAGCAGTGGCAACATATATACCAAAGATGAGATAAATCCCCATGCCTTAACCAATGGAAAGACTTAGCCAACAGGGGGCAAGCAAAATTGGAGGTAAAGAAGAAGATATAAAGGATGCACAATAGGAGAGCTAGAGGAACAAGGAAGCAGAAAGAAGAGAATTTCAGCAACATCTATCGCCGCAAAGTGCGGCAACAACGACACAGTCGATGCACAATAACCAAGGTGGACTGACACCTTAGTCTTTAGCAACGACAAAAGCAAACTTCACCTCATACTGAGACGATGATAAGATTAAAGATATGAAGAAAATAACAGTAAAACAACCGAATTCACGAGGTTATACAACAGTAGATGTAAGTCATCTGACAGAATACAAAAGCAGTCGGTCAGCACATTGAAGACTACCGAAAAATAACGGTAGCTTCGAAAAGGCAAAAATTGTGAGGAACATCTGGACCAGCTCTCTTAAAAAAGTTGCCAGAAATCACCGGCAAACATCAGAGCTCTGGGGTAAAAAATATCTTAGCTGGGCCCATTTTCAATAGAGACGCTGACAAATTATGAGATGTTCGCTAAGACAAAGATGAGACGGTAATTAAAACCCTCGATCACCCGATGCCATTCCTGTTTCCGACACCAGAAGTCACATCTCATCATTTGTAAGGGATGCTAACCAGAATGCCTCTAAGGTGGCACTCACCAGTTATTATATACTTTTGAGAGAGTGATGTACGTAAGGTGAAGTTGTTTGCATTTTAAACATGCACAGTGGAGAGAATGTTGGCATACTTAAATGGTACTTTCATGTAATGTGGCTGAAATTTCCTTGGATATTTTACTTTTGGAAATTTTAAATGATCTTAGTACATTGCTAACTAAAATAACTGCTCCTTTGTCCTCCAAAAATCAACCTGAATTTGTTTAAAGTACACTATCCTTGGCAGCTATTAAAATAGGG